TCTCCAAGTCTGTCTCTGACCTCTCTTGCTTCCCTCTTCCACATTTAAGAACCGTTTTGATTGTACTGGGCCCACCTGGATGATCCAGGCTAACCTTATTTTGGGGTCATTTGGTTTTCGACTGTGATTCCACCTGCAAGAGTAATTTCCCTTTGGATATAATATGACATATTCACAGGTCCTGGGGATTAGGATGTGGACATCTTTGGGAGACCATTATTATGCCTAGCACAGATACCAAGAGCCTGAAGTTGAGAACAGAGCCCACATAGGAGACTTCTAAGGAGTTTAGATGTATGTCTGAGAAAGATTCTTCTCAGGGCCAGGCGGGCGGTGGTGGGGTAAGGACAGGGAGGTCAGTCAGAGGATATTACAGTGGTAAAGCTCACGCAAGGACAGCAACAGTGAAGCTTTGTTCACATGTGGATTTCCCTGGATCTCTGACTTTGAGGAAAAAAGGGGTCTTTGCCATACCCAGTCCTAATGACCAGCCCATGAAGCCTCACCCTGATAAACATCAAGAGCGGAACCTCAGCCGAGTGAGCCCACCACAGCCTCCCTGAAGCTTCGCACCTGCTGAGGAACAGGATTCTGTCCTGTTTTGTCTAGAGGATGTCTGAGAGTGGGAAGATCCTCTAAACCCAGCCGTCAGGAGGGGCTCACCCCTGCCCTGCTTCTCCTCCACATTCTTGGCCCTGCAACCAGGGAGGTGTTTCTCTCTGGGACAGGCTGGATTCTGGAGTCAGTAGGCCATGAAACAACATGTTTTCCAGAAAAGTACCTTCCTTAAAGAAAACCACTCATTCCAAGGAGTAGAAAAGGGTCATTGTGCCTTGCCAGGCCCCCACTCTCCTTAGAACATGGCACAAAGCTCCTGTCCAGGGAAACACAGGGCAAATCAGATCCCCAGGTGCTCTGGCCTTCCCTTCATTCTAAGATAGGAAACGGGTCTGCTGAGAGGTCGCTGGAGGCAGACCCCATTTATGGACGAAAAGGACAATTGAGCTTTGTGCCTGTAGGTTCTTACGACAGCAGGGCTGTAAGGCATTTAGTCCAAAGTGCCTCACAGTAAGCAGCTGGGTTCCTCAGCTACAAAATAGAGGGGATGGGTGGCTGTGAGCTCTAAGGAGAAGATCTATAGAAAGCATTTAGCTCTGTGCACAGGAGAAGTCTAATGAATAGGAACTGGTAACAGCAGGAGGACCGGAGAGAAGGCTGGATTTGGAAACCGGGTTCGAGGGAGGCTCCACCCCAGATTTCTTGGGTGACCTTGAGCAGCCCCTTCCCTTGCTGCCCCCAGATAAACACTCCTGGCTCTGCTGGCATTCTAGTGTCTCTCTCCTGGCCGCCCCTTCCTCCCCAGCGAGGCAGGGGCGCTTGCGGCCGGCCTATTCCAGAGCCCCTCCCTCTTCTTACGCAGCGGGCCGCGCTGGGCTGCAGGGCAGGAGCATCTGGGCACCACACACCACACACCACTCACACAACACACACCTCACGCACATCACACACACACTCCCCCCTCACGCCACAGACCCCACGCATACTCTTGCACCCACACATTCCACATACATAAGGAAAGTAGGATTGTAGGAGCTGCTCATCCCTTCTCTGGGTCATCCCTCCAGACTTTCCTTAATCCCAGCTACCCCGTACCCAGCTCCCAGCAGATGCTCCTGCTTCGCTGAGAAAATGGACCATCCGGCGTGACACGCTCCTCTCTCTTCTGCCCCCGACAGGCAAGCACGCAGGCTTTACCTGCACCCCCGAACATCCTTCCCAGCAGCATTGCTGCACCCACACGCCACCATCCGGGCCTGACCCCCAGGCCCATCCTGGGGACCCCTCTGGGGGTTTCTTCCTTGCTAGAGTACTGTTAGGGTCTCCCTCCCCAGTCCTCCTTGCTCAACACATGCTCAGCCTCCCTCCCATTCCTAAAAATAATAATCACCTCTCCCTCAGCATGGTGCCGTTCTGGTCAAAGTACATGGCCCTTCTTCCCTTCAAATTATCTTCAACGGCAACCTCCCCTTCCTCAGCTCCCACTGATTCAACTGCCCTTGCACACGCACACCCCCACACGCCCCCTACACACACATGCTCATGCACACCACCATAGGGCCACTCCCTTCACTCCACTCAAACTCTTCTCACCAAGGTCATTGTCAACCCTCATGTTGCAAAATCCAAGGTCTCTGCTCTGTGCTCACCGTCGCCAGCCCCCCTGATGCTTTCAACTGGCTGACTCGTCCTCTCTGAGAACCACTTTCTCCCTTGCAAGGTTGCCAGATAAAATATAGGGCACCAGTTAAAATAGACTCTCAGATAGACAACAAATAATGTTTTAGTATAAGTCTGTCCCAAATAGTGCATGGGACATACTTATATTAAATACTTTTTTTTTTTTTTTGGTCTATCTGAAGTTAAAATAACTAGATGTCCTGCATTTTTATTTGCTAAATCTGGCATCCCTACTCCCTGCTTCTCTGTCCCATGTGCTCCCCACCCTCCTGTCTCTTCTTCAGCTGCTCCTCCTCAGCCTCCTCCTTCTGTCGGCCTGCTCCAGGGTGCTGGCCTTGCCTACCTTCCCTTCTCAAACTCCCTGATCTCTGGGGCAGCTTCTCCCACATCCTTGAGCCCAGCTCCACTTGAGGCTGGCCTTGCCCAGAGTCTCCAAAGACCTTCTCTCTAGCTCCTTTGTAGCAATAGCAGATTGCAATGCTGGTGTGTGTGTGTGTGCTTGGAAAGACTGCTTGTCCGGCCCAACAAGCAAGGCTGCCTCTTTGTTGCCTTCATCATCTATTGTCCAGAAACGTGCTGGCCAGATGTGGAAGCATCTGCAACCATTCCAGATGTGGAAGTAAGAAGTGCTTCCCTGGGGAGCTGGCTGTGGTCCAGCCTCATCTCCTCCCACTGAACTGCCTACTCCCTGCCCCCACATGTTCTCTGAATCACCACTCACGCTGCTCCCTCTGGAACACCCTCTCCCAAACTCTTCCTGCTGAAGTGCCCTCTTTTCTTCAGGTCTAGCTCAAGGGCCACCTCCTCCCGGGTTTCCTTGGGTCTCCCAGCTCTCCCTCCCCTGAGCACCTGAGTGTGTTATGTGCAGCCTTGTCCAGGTCACTAAATTGGGAGTTCACCAAGTGCTGGGACCATGTCTGGTTGACTCTCATGTTCCCTGGGCAGAGCCTGGTACACAGTCGGTGCTCAGCCAGTGTGTATTGATAGAGGAGTGAATGACTAAATAAGAGAACAGGTGACAGAATAAATGAACAAATGCTTGAGGAAGGAAGGAAGGAAGACTCGGTGAGTAGATGGATGGATAGATGGATGGATCGATGGATGGATGGATGAGTGGGTGAATGGGTGGATGGATGGATAGAAGGATGGATGGATGGATGGATGAGCGGGTGAATGGGTGGGTGAGTGGATGAATGGATGGATGGATGGGCAGATAAGTGGGTGGATTAGCAAGTGAACAAATGAGGAAACCTCAGGACTTGACAGACTGCCCATCACCTACAGTGTGAGGTCAGGCTCCTTGCCATCACTTTGTTTTCAGAGTCATGTGATTCCAGCCTGCAGACTCTGCTTCCACGGACCCAAGGAGGTTGTGACCATGCAGCACAGAGACAGAGCTCTAGGCCTGGGGTCTGATACTTGGGTCCGGCTGAAAGGCACCTGACCTGGACTGGAGCTGACTTTGCTCTCCCCTCCCAGACCTTGCACTTCTTTTTTTTTTTTTTTTTTAAAAATTTTTATTTATTGATTTGAGACAGAGAGAATGAGATACAGAGAGCATGAGAGGGAGGAGGGTCAGAGGGAGAAGCAGACTCCCTGCCGAGCAGGGAGCCCGATGCGGGACTCGATCCCGGAACTCCAGGATCATGACCTGAGCCGAAGGCAGTCGCTTAACCAACTGAGCCACCCAGGCGCCCCAGACCTTGCACTTCTATCTCTGCCCATCTGGAGCTTCCATGCCCAGGTATTTCTTTGTGTCTAGACATGCTCCCCTACCTCTGATGTCTGGGCACCCCTGAGAACAGGTCCCTGCTGAGTTCTGAGAAAGGCACCACCCAGGACCCCTTCAAGGAAGGACTTCAGGGGCAGCCTCAGCTGCAGAGCTGCTTTGCCAGAGGTCAGACCTTGGGGGACAGGGAACGGGGGTGGGCCGCACTCAGAGACTGAGCAAAGGTAGGAGGTGGGTATTAAGGGCCTGCATCATAATCTGATTTGTTCCTCATCTAATCCTGCTTTCTCCTCATTCCGCTCACAGATGTTGACCCCTATAAACATCTTGCACCCCAAACTTTGTCTCAGTGTTCATTTGTGGAGAATGCAACCTGCAACCGTTTCCTTCCACGTGCATCTAGGAAGGCCCTGTTTGGGGGCTTTCAGGTCCAGAGTGACCACAACAAGCTCCCAGGAACTCCTGTCCCTGGGCCGTGCCTCTCCCTTCCCCATGCTCCCCTACTCCATCCCTCTCTGCCAGCCTGACACTCTCCCTGGCCCCTTTCCCCCTCTCCACCTCTGCAGCCGCAAGCCTCTCTCTGAGAGTCCTTCCTGTGGCCAAGATGGCCTGTCTGGGTACCCGTAGAGGCCAGACCCCTGGCAGGGTCAGTTTTGCCCCCTACAATAGGCGGGTCCTAGGAGAGCCATCCATTCAGGGCTGAATGGAGACATATGAGCCAGGAGACCCAGAAGTTTGCACCCTTCAAACTACGTTCTAAATATGGCACAGGAGGGGCACCTGGGTGGCTCAGTCGTCAAGCGCCTGCCTTTGGCTCAGGTCATGATCCCAGGGTCCTGGGATCAAGCCCCGCATCGGGCTCCCTGCTCGGCGGGAAGCCTGCTTCTCCCTCTCCCACTCCCCCTGCTTGTGTTCCCTCTCTCACTGTGTCTCTCTCTGTCAAATAAATAAATAAAATCTTCTAAAAAATTAAAAAATTAAAAGAAATAAATATGGCACAGGATTTATTTCCTGGTACAGAAAAAAAACCAGATTTTCTATTAATAAAAACTGAGCATCTCTTTATTTGTGACAAAAACAAGAGCTTTGTTACATGCTCTCGATGTAACATAACATTTTAACTTATTTGGAATCATCTTTCAGTTCATGATTTTTCTATCATTCCCAAGTGACGCAAATCACTCACATTCTCTAAGAACAGAAGTGACCTATAAGAATATAGTAATAAAGTCTCACTCAAAATATGTTTCAAAGTCTTCTTTCTTGGCTTTCCCGTTAATCAAACAGCTTGTACTTTCTGTGACTATTTTTTTTTTCTCTTCTGTTTCCTTTTGTAGTTTTCAGCCCTGGTTCTTGAGAGACCTATATAAGGATATACATTTTCAATTATAAAATAAATGGCTTGTTCCCAAGGAAGCAGCCCTTTGGTTGCAGAATTGCAGGTCTGATTTCAGGCAACCGGTAGGGGACAGGTCTCAGGGTTGGATTCTGTGCTATGTGCCCTTGCAAGGAACCGAACCCATCAGAGGGGCAGATAAAAATGTAAAAATGTCCACTCGAGGGCGCTGTTTCTTCTGGTGGCAATAGAACCAGTTGTTCGGGCACGCTGGGGTAACCTGAGTGAACTAGCCCTCTGTTCCCAGTCAGCTCCGGTGATATTGCAGTCCCCGGTAAATCAGAAGAGCTGGTCTCCGTGCCATCCGACAGTGCCCAGTCAGTCACTCACTCTTCAGGCCTCTCCTAGGCCCCAGCCTGTGGGCAGGGTCCAGCTGAACTCTCAGGGCTCGGAGCTGAATTCCACCTGGTCCCAGCCCTGCGGATCTCCCAGGCTGGCGGGCACAGCAAGCTGGGCTGGGCTGGGACGCGGAGTTCGCCCAAAGCAGACTTGGAGGAGTGGGACACCAGGGAAGGCTTACTGGGGGGTGAGTGGGTCTGACCCACCAGCAGAACAAATCCTGCGGACTGTGAGGCTTCACATGAAGGTCCAGAAGTCCCGGGCACCCGCCGCCGCCGGCTGGGCATGGTGACCCGGCCCCGTGAAGAGAGAAGCCTCCTGGCGAAACGTGGCCACTGTGAAGCTGCGGCCAGGGCCCCCCTGAGGATCCTGGGTCCTCGAGTCACAGCTGAAGCAGCAGAGGAGGCAGGTGATGGCTACGGTGACCACAAACAGCACGGCCACCACGCCAATCACTGCTGTTTCCATGGCCCTGCGTGGCAGCTGACCTGCTGAGCAACCGGCGCCAAGTCTTAGAGCCTCAGCTCCCCACCCAAAACAGGGGGCTCTGGGGGGTAGCAGGCGCCCCGCTCTTCCAGCCACACTCCTTGTGGGCTCCTAGCAGATGCCGGTCTGAGGCCCTGGGTCACGGCCCCACCAGGCCAGTGGGCACTCCGCATTGCGCCATCAGACCTCAGCTGCTCTCTGTTACTGTTTTCTAAGCCTCTGGCCAGGATCCCAAGAGCCGTGGTCAACTCCACCGGCAGCTTCTGGAAGAAGAGCTGTCCCGAAAGATGTGAGCTCAAGACTCCCTGGACTCGGAGGGGCTGAGGAAGAGGGAGCAGAAGACTTTGCTCAGAGAGAACCTTGCCAACCCGGCCCTCCGGTGCCGCCTACCCATTTCGAGAGAGTTTGTCTGCTTGGCCACAAGACAAAATACTCCCCCTCCTGGGGATCCAGGATGAGCCTGGGCTCCTCCCCTGGAAGAACCTTGGGCCAGTCCTTGAGTCAGCCTATCTGCTGCCTCCTGAGCTCCTGGCCGTGGGCAGGGGGCAGGAACGCAGGTGGGCAGGAAGGCAATGCCAGCCCTGGGCAAGGTCGGGCTGGGGCCACTGCAGGGGAACCACGAGGGCCACGGGGCCTTCGGCAGCGGCTGCGGTCCCTTTCACTCGGCCTCCTTTTCTACACAGGGCTGGGAGGGTGCTGTTTAGAGAGGGCAGGGTGTGCTCCCGCCAGGACCTGAACCCCTTCAGCGACTTCCGACGGGGCTCCTTTGCCGTGTGGTTCCCGTCCCCGAGAAGCCCTCTTCGGCATGGCCTCCCCCCAGCCCTCACACCTGCCACCCACGCTCAGGTGCTATGACAACTTACCCCGGGCTTCCCCGAGTGACAGCCCTGGCTGTATGCGGTGCCATGGCCTCCTGACCTGGGGGCCACCCCACGGGCCAGGCCATGGCCCACTCATCCCTGGGTGCTGCAGCCTTTGTCCTGCTTCGGACAAGGCTCCGAGATGTCTGAGTAGCTGCGAGCACTTCCTGAATTCCTTCCTCCAATTGTGAGTGTGGGCCCAGGACCTGCACAGCTGCCTGCCCCCTTGGTGACTGCACTTACCCCACCCCCACACACACCCGCGCCGTTCCAGCCCTGCGCAGTCGGGGCTCCACTTGGCCGCTCCGGGTGAGGCCGAGCCAGGCCAGGCCGCTGAGTAAGTCCGCCAGAAGGGCTGCATCCTCTCACTCAGTCGCGGCTCTTCCACACCTAACCCCCTGACACCACCCCACTTCCAGAAAGGAGGTTTTACCCAAACTATGAGGAATGGAGTGGAGAGAAACAATGCTCCCAGGTACCAGACACAGCCAGGCATTATCTCATATAATGGCTCCAGCAACCCTGGGAAGTGATACTGTCTCCATTTTACAGACAAAATGCATACAGTCAGAAGTTAAACGACCTGCCTGTAGCCTACTGCTAATTAGTCGTGGTGATAACGAGAGCACCAAATGGCTGAAGGGGTGGGGGGGCTTCCCTCCTTTCCCTCCTAGCTCAATGCTCTTCCCGGGTACCATGGGGAGGACAGGGCAATCACCTCTTTCCGCAGTTTTACTGATCGGAGTGCAAAGGCCCAGAGAGGGCAAAGGGCCAGCCTGACGTCACACAGCCTGGGTCCTTTGCAAGCTCTCCAAGGCCCCAGTGAATTTTCTTTAGTACCAGTTTTAGGAGGCTGCTTAAGCACAGAATGAGTGACTATTTGGACTACATGAAGCCTGTCAAATTCTCACACTTCCCTTTTCCAGCATGAGCTCAGGGCTCTTCCTCTGCATGAGCAGCCCCGGGCAAGCTGAGCCCGTGGCAGGAAGCTGGCCACCTCCAATTACTAGTATTTTTTTTTTTTTTAAGATTTTATTTATTTAAGGGCGCCTGGGTGGCTCAGTTGGTTGAGCGACTGCCTTCGGCTCAGGTCATGGTCCTGGAGTCCCTGGATCGAGTCCCGCATCGGGCTCCCTGCTCGGC